TAAAAGCAAGCACAGTTACAGAAGCAAATGGCATTAGTTAAAATCAAAGAGAACACATTTTTCTAATCTAAAACAGTTTCTGTTCCACACAAAACAAAGTACATTCTCCTACTATCAATTCCTGCCCTTCAGCGGGAGACAGGGCAGGGAGGCGGCCCCTGGAGCAAGACGCCACGCTGCGCCGCTCCCTCCCACAGCAATCGCAGACCCTGGCGCGTCGCGGCACGCGTCCACACCCTAACCTGGAGCCCGAGGATGCGCCACCTCGCAGCGCAAAGGGACGCTGCAGACGGGATGAGGTTCAGAGTCCCGCGATGGGGATCGCCCCGATTACCTGGGGGTGCTGAGTGTGCCGCAGCGCCCTTCTAAAACGCAGCCAAGAGGATCCACGTCAGAAAGCAGAGAGGAGATACGGAGAACGGCGGCGGATGCCGTGCCGTGAAGACGGAGGAAGGGGCGAGCCAAGAACACAGGTGGCCTCTAGAAGCCTCTAGAACCTCTGAGAGACGAGGGAGACCCCCCCCACCCCCCCAGCCAGAGCACAGCCCGTCAGGGTTTACATGACTCATTTCAGACTTCCGGCCTCTGGAACTGAGATAATAAATACGTGCTGTTTTAAGCCACAATGTCTGTGATAACTTGTTATACCAGCAATAGGAAACCAATACACGTGTTCACATGTATAACACATCTTTATGAAAAAAAAAATTTTCCCCCAAAATCAGTGCAAATAGGAGCGGTGATTTACAAATTTTATAAATCTAATTTCTAGCTTAATTGAAGGCATCTTGATTCTCATGTATCCTTCTGTGTTTAGTGTGTTGTCCCCGAGACACTCCACCATGGCATGTTCTTGAGAGAGGCAGAGTGGAAAGGTAAACGGTCCCTTACTATTATTACGAAAACAGTTTTGATGTGATCCACTTGGAAGGGTCTCAGGGACCCCCAGGGACCCTGGTCCAAGCCTCAGACCACATGTGGAAAATCAAAGCATTAAAGGATAGTCTAACACAGAATTCTGCTCTTAGAAACAACTATTCCATGAGGCCTGGGTGTTATTTCCATTTACATACAGTTTCTGTAGAACTTTATATAATTCACATACTTTCAATTTTATCAATCACGTAAAGACAACACATACAATAAAACTGATTATTTTAAAACTGCTGCTATTTCATTATGAAGCTTTAAGCACAAGTAACGGTACTCTGGTTTCAGGACACAGATCTACATTTCATTTTGCCATCATTAAAGTATCATTTCCAAAGTAGTTCTGTGGCACACTGAACGTCGGAAAGTAGAAACAACAGTATTTTACCTCTTGGGGAGTTCTGCAACACGTACCATTGATAATTCTAGCAGAAGCCCCAGTGAGGTTCCGGAAGACAGAACTTGCTGGGCTCACTCAGCACCAAGAGAGAAGCACAACAATGGTGACAGCCACCATTTACGCCCGTGACTTACAAGACACAGGGGCTCTTTCTCTCCGTTATAAATCATCTTTACAAAAAGGAGACTCCCTGGCCACCCTTCGGAGCACGATTTTAGCCTTTAACCAAACACTGGTCATGTACAAAACCCATTTCTTCTGCAACGTTCTATGATAGTGAAGATCCGAAGGCCATTTTTCTAAAACTGAGTTTATATTAGCAAACATCATTTCCTTCTCTATTTGTCTAAGAAGTCATTTCACAGAAGTTAACTGCAAAATAAATTGACTATTTAAGAAACGAAGCCTTGAGCTTAAGTTAGAATCCAAATGAGGTCAATAAGAAGGCTGTTTTGTACATATCCCTGAAACACCAACAGCAAAGGTGGGTTAACACCAGACAGACAGAGACTACCACTTAGTAGCACCCAGTGAATTACTACATGGAATTTTTCTATTAAATACACAACACGGCTGGGCATGGTGGCTTCACGTCTGTGATGCCAGTGCTTTGGTTGGCTGAGATGGGAGGATGGCTTAAGCCCAGGAGTTTAAGACCAGCCTGGGCAACATATTGAGACCCCATCTCTACAATCAATTAATAAATAAAACATTTAATGGTAGGAGATTCTTTAAAATAAGAAATAAATTTTTGGCTGGGCGTGGTGGCTCACGCCTGTAATCCTAGCACTCTGGGAGGCCGAAGCAGGCAGATCGTTTGAGCTCAGGAGTTCCAGACCAGTCTGAGCAAGAGCGAGACCCCATCTCTACTAAAAATAAATAGAAATTAGCTGGACAACTAAAAGTATATATATATAAAATTAGCTGGGCATGGTGGCGCATGCCTGTAGTGCCAGCTACTCGGGAGGCTGAGGCAGGAGGATCGCTTGAGCCAGGAGTTTGAGGTTGCCGTTAGCTAGCCTGACACCACGGCACTCTAGCCCGGGCAACACAGTGAGACTCTGGCTCAAAAAAAGAAAGGAAGAAAGAAATTTTTACGAGAAAGTTGCACGGAAGAGTTAAGCAACCAGGTAGGGGTAAAATCTGCACAATAATCATCTGACAAAGCTATTAGGGCAGCTAAAGACAAAAAAAATATAAAAACAGTTTCATTTCCAAGAAGTTAAATCAGGAAATCCAGTATCTTAACTTCTTTATGCCTTAAAATAAGTTCTTGTACCTAACAATTTAATCTCATTGGGAGCTAACAAATACTTGAAAACCAATAATTAGGCTTACATTAGACATTCCAGATTTTGTGGTTAAATTTGAAAAACTGATAACTTTTAGTATATTCTGAATAACATATTACATATTTTCAAATCCATGCACGGATAGACCAGTTCAGACTTTGGACCGAGCTATTCGATAGATTCGGTGCACTCAAAACGAGTCCTGTCAAATACACTGGACATGTGTTTCTTTCCTTCATGTTTAACAATCAAAGTATGTGTCCTATGACTCCATTTCAAACATCTGAAATTATGCAGCATGAGACCCAGTATTTCTCAGGTCTGAGAATTTACACAGGGCCTAAGCCTGGGAGCAGCACTGGGGAGGTCAGAGGGCAGGCAATGGCACTGGGGAAGACCGCCACGGCAAACCTGCAGGATGGAGGCACCCTGAGCTCACACCTCAGCCGCCGGCCACACCCACAGCGGCCCTGGCAGGGCAGAGCTTCCACCCATCCGTATCAGAAAGTTTTCCGCGTTTCCAAACACCATCACTGGATGATCATTCGCGACTTGCCTGCCGAGAGGTCTTACCCAGGAGCAAGCATGTAACCGCTCAATCAAAGAGTCTGGAAGATCCACCCATGAGCTTTCTGCTCCATGCGCTCCCTCTGGGGCTCACTCCTGCCTGTGCAGGTCCAGCGGGAGCAGCAGCGCCCATGGGAGTCACGCACACTGACCCCAGCGGCACCCGAGGCCAGGCTCAACCTCTGCCGCCAGGACCACCCCTTCCTCAAGGACCTGGGAGCCCTCAGTCCCGAGAAACCGCTGGGCTGGCGGTGAGAACTTCTAAAACATCTATGGAGGGGTGTGGCAGGCTCTCCGGAGGCAGCCTGCAGGGGAGGAAGTGCCGTCTAGAAGCACCGGCTACCCGTCACAGGGCAGCCTGCCTGGCAAGCACCCCTCCCCACGCGCACGAGCCTCCTCGTCCCGTTCCGGGAGCAGCGGGTTCCGCCGCACTCGATGCCCACGACCCCACCATCCGCACCCGGTGCCCTCCCAGGCTGGTATGAGGAACGGCGATTTGCATTTTTCTCAGTACGACCAATGTTTTGATAATGCTCATCACTCCAGAGAATTTACATGATTCAAACAGCAACCTGTAAAAGTATTTTAGTATTATTTCAAATATGACAGATGCACACTTACGCTAATACGGCTACCTGTAACGATAAGGTCTGTGACTGGGTTCATGCAACGCTCTCACCTGGTGGAAGAAATCCTCCATAAAATGGTCCTTCTCAACAACAACAGCTGTGTCTCCATCATCATTTTTCCTACACTAAAATGGAAAATACAAAAAGTAAAATTCAGATTTTTGAAATTTTTACGTAGGCACAAATAGTGAACTGAAAGACAAAACAATTCAGTACCCGCGAGATCTCAACTCACTAGAGCAGCGGTCCCCAGCCTTTTTGGCACCAGGGACCGGTTTCACGGAAGACAATTTTTCCACAGACGGGGGGCGGGGCGCGAAGAGCTCTGCAGCCCGGTCCCTAACCAGCGCGGTGCGCGGTACGGGACTGTAACAAACCGGCAGCGCACCGCTATCCAGGGCGGTTGAACTGTGCGACGCTTTCAATACAGCAGCTAAAGCTCGGCGGGGCAGGGCAGGAGCCCCGGAGAGAAACAAGGTTTGCATTTCTCAGAACCATCTTTCATTGCACTATGTGAGTCAATATAACACAGCCAGTTTTATCTTCCAAAAGTGAAACTGGGCCGGGCACGCTGGCCCACTAGGCAGGAGGATCCCTTGAGGTCAGGAGTTCGAGACCAGCCTGAGCAAGAGAGAGACCTCGTCTTTACCAAAAATAGAAAAATTAGGCGGGTGTGGTGTTGCACGCTTGTGATTCCAGCCACTCGGGAGGCTGAGGCAGGAGGATCGCTTGAGCCCGGGAGTGTGAGGTCGCTGTGAGCTACGATGGCACCCTGCACTCTACGGCAGCAGAGTGAAACTGTCTCCAAAAAAAAAAAGTGAAGCTGTTTGTGTTGCATATTTCCTATAAAGATTAAAAACACTGACATCACTAGTTAACTTTTCTAGGGTAATAGTTGTCAAATAACTTTCACATATATTAGCTGGCAGTCCTCCTTTTTTCCTAAGTGAGGAACTCCCCGTCACACATGCACTAATAGTCGATAAACACTTCAGTAAGGAAAGACGTCTTAAAGACCTTAATAGGTAAAACTGAGGACAGCAACTGCAGTGACCGCCGGCAAGAGCCAGAAGGACGCTGGTGTTTGGAAATCTGTTTACGAGCACATGCGGTGGTGAGGAACGAGGAGATACATCAGGACCAATTCTCTCACTGCAGTTGCACCGGAACCTCGGGGGCTGGTTGAAGGAGAGCCTGGCCCCACCCAGGTGGCCGGCTCAGCGGGCGGGAGGGACAGAACCTGCATTTTAAGGAGCTGCAGGCCATGCCCGGAACCAGCCCAGGAACCCCACTTCACAACCATCCTTCCAGGCAGTCAAAATAATTTAACAGGGAAAAGCCTAACTAGGAGGAAAGAAATTTTTGTCCATGGCTACTGGGAGAGGAAACAATAAAATGACCCCTGGGGAACTGACCCCTAATGCATGCGTCAAAGCCTTGAGAGCAGCCTCCGCAGTGAGACCCAACCTGCCAGGAGGCGCCATCCTAAAGCGTCTCCCCAGGGACAGCCCAACTGCAAACTCACAAGGCCAGGTGGCAATGACCCTCGGGACCTCCATGATCCTTCCCCAAGCCTCAAGCACAGCGTTACTGGTCTACAAACCACCAACACTCGGAAACAAAATTCTACTCAAACTTAGCTAAGAAAAATCTGAGAACTTAACCAGCGTGCTAAGAATGCACAACAAATCTTTCCTGTCTACCGCCCAGGACGCTCACCGAGGCAAAACCAATTTGGCCTAAAATCAACCACACTGACTCTGTCACCCTCTCCGGCCCAGGGCCTCCTGGGTGCAGATAAGACAACCGGCAGCCAAGGTGGGGGGGGGGGATATGCTGCCCCGAGATAGACGAGCTCGCTCGCCCACCGGCCCATGACCAAACCCACACTTCACAGAACAGTTCCCTTTATTAAACGGATCTGTTCTGTGAAATTTGGATCCAGCCAGAAGGCCACATGTGGCCCCAAGGCCGCAGGCTCCCCAGCCGGGTCTGAAGGGAGGGAGCCAGGCGGTGGCCCCTCAGAGCTGTCAGCTGCACATTCTGTCGCACGGACTCCCGGGCACCCCCTCTAAGTGGTCTTCCCAGGAGCCCTGGGTGACACTGAGCCACCAGGCTGCTCTCACCTGACAGCGGGGGCTGAGTGGGACGCCCGGAGCTACGGAGCCTGCTCCTGACTGTGTGTCTGTGCTGTGCTGACAGGCGAGGGCTGCGGGTGCAAGTCCTACCCCAGCACCTCGGCGTGTGACCCGTTTCGGGGAAGAGGGTCGTTTGCAGGGAAGGATCCTCCCCTACAGGCTGCAGAGAGGGCCCGCGACTCCGCCTCGGACTTCCAGCCTCAAGAACTTGGAGGAAATAAATGTTGTTTGAAACCACCCAGTCTGTGGCCTTCGTCACGGCAGTCCCAGGACACTGGCCCACCGCGCGAGGGCTGAAGCGATCGGCACAGCCTTCCTTTCATCAAGACATGGACCCCGCGCTCCTTTGGCAGCAAAACAGCATGCCTAGGAGGAGCAGCACGGTATCGGGAACCCAAGACCCGCCGCCCCCTCACCAGCAGCCTCTGGCCCAAGAAACAGGTGCCCGTCCCACCTCCTTCAGGGTCGGAGGGTGGGACACCAGTTTGGAAAGGAGGCACTCTTTTTTTTTTTTTTGAGACAGAGTCTCACTGTGTTGCCCGGGCTAGAGTGCCACGGCATCATCCTCGCTCACAGCAACCTCAAACTCCTGAGCTCAAGCGATCCTCTTGCCTCAGCCTCCCAGAGAGCTAGGATTACAGGCGTGAGCCACCGCGCCCGGCCAGGAGGCACTCTTTTCACAGGGAGTACACAGACCCATAAAAGCTTTTAAAATTGTTTCCAGTCCACAGTCTCACTTCTAAGCAAAGCAGCCTTGAAGACAAAACAGCAACCAACTAACAAGCAACAGAAACTGACATTAAAGTGAAACACACAGACTCCAACACTCTTCTCCGCACACGTCACCCTTTTAGGAAAACAAAGATCCACTCGTGGGTGCCGCGTGCTGGTGCCCAGGGGCTGCAGGAAGCACTTCAGGGCGTTATCGTTAGCGCAGTCAGTCCTCCTAACAACCCCCGCGTGTGGTATGTGCCATTCTATTTCACACATGAGAACGCAGACTCCACGGTTACGGAACGTGCCCAGGGTTGCAGAGCTACGGGGCAGCCAGTAGCTGCAGCCAGCCCGTTTGGCTGTGCAAAGCTCCTGCCTGAACCGCTGTACTACGCTGACCCTCTGAAAAACACTAAGAGCTGGCTGGGGCGATTTAAAACACTTTAAACGCCTTCCAATTTTTATGATCCCATTTTGCCGGTGAGGAGGCTGAAATGCCGATCGGACTCCAAACGCCCTGCTCTTAACAGCGCTCAACACGCCCTGCTCCTCCAGGAGGAGGAGCTCAGCTGCAACGCCCTGCCCGCCCCGCCCTGGCCGTCCTCTCCTAGAGGTTCCCTCCTCCACCCCGGGCTCCCCCAGCTTGCCCCCTCCCTGTCTCTAAACACTCACTTGGGCATGGGTTTCACTGTTTCCCTGTGCGTATCTGTCTTCTCAACTGTGGGGTCTCAGAAGACACAGGGCCAGGAATGACAGAGTGAAACATCACGCAAGTGGTTACCTGACTGTGAATTGGACCACACGAGCCCGGGGTGGGAGAAGAAGGTCAGCGAGTGTGTCTGAGACCCTGCTGGGGACTGGCCTGGGGCCCGGAGTCCAGGGAGATGGGACACGCCCCCCCTGCCCCGTGAGTGACCGCATGGCTCTCGGCATCTCACGTCTCGCGGCTCTGAACCCACTCTAGGATCAGAGACTCCCCAATGCTGTGTGTTTTCCTTTGTATTATGGAAAACTGCAAACACATACAAAAGTAGAATGGTATGTCCATCGCCCAGGCTCCGTGATGATCCAGCCACAGCCTGTCCTGTCCCAGCTGCACACCCACAACTTCCCTCCCTACACCCCAGGGCCATCTTGAGGCAAATCCCACACTTGTGTGTACGACACAGCGGGGAGCCCAAGCTGCTTCGCCTGCCGCCCCAGGAGAGAGGCTGTGCCCGTCTCGACACTCGGCAGAAACGGTCTCCAACGCCGCACTCTCCCCGAGGAAAGCAAGTTGTTTTCTCATCATAAGTGTCCCATTCTGTACAACTGCGCTGCACACAGTGACATGAATAAACAACTAGAGAAGCTCAGTCCCTCCTCAACTCTCTGAGATCCATGTTATGCACCATTTTTGTCCATAAAGTCAGTCACTTGCCGGTAAAAAATTTCTCTACCTGCAGACCAAGAACGAGTCGCGTGACTAGAGATATATTTCCTCTAATGTCCTGTTTCTTATTCTTATTTTTAAGCCTTTATATTTCTCATTTCTACCTGGAATTCTCAAAACTATTAGATATTAGGAAGCAGACCCAATAATACTCTTTTCCCCTTCATAAGAAAAAATTACTACCAATAACAGTGATATTTTTGGCTTTATGCCTAAGCTACATTACTCCTGTCTTAGGTGAACACCGGTGTTCAATCCTTCCTGCTGAGATTAATACGAGTACAACAGCCATGTTTATGACAGCAATTATGGTAAATGCCAGAACGATCTATGGCAAACATTTACTAAAAGCACGGGGAATATTCTCCAGTGTGACGTACTTGACTTCCAAAATGTCAAAGAGCAGGATAAATATTCAAATAAGTGTTAAGGGAATTATCCTTAAAGGTAGCATTATAGTAAAAAAAAAAAAAGAAAACCAATTTTCCCTATGTGAACACTATTGTCAGGAATGGGCAGCAAGAAGCTTCCTGGTTTAGACACGATTTAACAGAAATGAATAATCTGTCATTGGAATTTTCATCACTTAGAATTCAACAGAAGGCCAAGGCGAGAGGATCCCTTGAGTGGAGGAATTTGAGACCAGCCTGAGTAAGCGCCAGATCCTGTCTCTACAAAAAAAAAAAAACAGAAAAATTAGCTGGGCGTGATGGCACGTGGCTGTAGTCCCAGCTACTCGGGAGGCTGAGGCGGGAGGATCACTAGAGCCTTAGCTTTGACGCTGCAGTAAGTTGTGATGACCCCACTGCACTCTAGTCGGGGCAACAGGGAGAGA